TTCTTACATGGAGCTGTTTTTAAAAATCATCCAGCTTGGAAAATTTCTCATCCTGTCCTCCAAGGACAAACGTCTCAGATGTATGGAGATGCGACAATAAAGAATGAAGAAGTGCAGCTGCTAACCCTGCCTTCACAGGTGACCCAGTGATCACAACAGCATCTGGTTGAATTACTTAACACTGCCGCCCAACAGACATGTAATCCGGGATAATGCCCTTTTGCTGAGTGCTCCAATCTGGATAAATTCATCCCCGAGGAATGAGATCCAGCAGCAGAGTCTCAGAGAGAGAGGAGATGAGGGGCTTGGGGGTTGATTGGTTGGTGCTAAAGAAAACTGTTGGGGCTGGGGAAGACAGTCTTCTAGATGGATAATGAAGCCCAACAGTAAACAGCTTGATTTTGTTGACTGGCTGACTGACTGCATGAGAGGAAGCAGATCATTGCCTGGTTTTCCAAGAACACTCCAAACTAATCATATTCCTTTTCCTGGCTGACCTGAATCCTGACAGACTCGAAATGAGGCTTTCATCCAAACTGCAGTCACCGGATATACTGTACTTACTTACATTCTGCATTTTTATCTTGGTGCTGCCTACAGCTGAATCATTTGGACGGCTGTCCTCTCACATGAACACATGCCAATCTCCATCTCTATGTTTATTCATTGATATATTTATTTATCTCATGTTTCATCAACCAAATGAAAGTTTCAGCCAAAACTGATTTTTTCTTGGAAACAGCATCGCTCATTAATGCCACAAACCACCGCCAAACACTGGGACTTACAAGTTCCAGTTGTCCAGCGGCAGCCTCTTAGATTATTCATTCATATGTTTACTTATTACCATAAATATCCAACAGGGCACTCGGCTCAGAGGGATTACAGAAGGCTTAATCTATCGTGGCACAGAAATGAGCAGGGGTCACAGCGACTGAGGTGACTTAAGCTGGCTAGCCTTGATGGGACATGCAGCACAAACAAGAAAACAAACTACATGCCACTGGGCCCCATCGTGAAGTGGTGGCGTCATCTGTCACTCACTGTGTTTGTGTGGCATAATCCAGACAGGGTTAGCATTACTCAAGCCAACTGTCATGTATGGTGAGGGTAAGTCATACAAACAGGACAAGGAAGGCGTTTCTCACCAGGCATATTAATCAGGCTGTGCAAGACTCCTATTAGAATATAGATAGTTTTAATGGGCATGCTGTGGTTGTTAGTCATGTTTACTCGAATTGAAAATATGACTGCTGGAATGGCAAGGCTTATGACAATGTGCGAGAAAAATGTATACTGGTTTTAGCATTTCAGTAGAATGGGGATAAATCAATTAATTACCTCTAAGTCATTATGGTCGTAATCCATGCATAAGACAGCAGTGTGTCTTGCTTACAAATAACTATTCATAATAATGAGGCTGAAAATTGGTATTTATGTTTGAGTAGTGTTGTGCAACGTAATGGGCTGTATTTCTCTCTCTTTTTTCTTTCCCTTTGGAGAAGCGAGAATGATTTCTCCGTCTATAAAAAATCCAGACATGACATTGGAAAGACATTTAATTATATTTTGGTTGAGAAATATGTATCAAAGCCTGCCGCCCATGAAAAGCGGATTTAGAGTCGTCAGTCAGCAGTTAATAGACAGCAGTAAATGAAATAGGGGCTGATGGGGGTGCTAAGACATGCTTTCCAGGACTAAGAAACAGCTTAGTCTGGCTGGGTGGTGAAATCGGGGGTTCTGACACGATACACGACGGGGTGGGAGATAATGAAGGCGATTGGGGGGGAGGGAAGGGGCAGGAGATTGTTAAAGAGATTGGGATTTCATTCCTGTGCAGCAGCACTGCCCCTAGTGGGCAAACCTTGAGTTAAGGATAGCTCATCAAGATTTAATTTCCCTGAGAAAGTGGACCGGAAACCCAGTGGCCCAGACAGTTTGCATAAAATTTCACAAGGTGTCATTTAAAGAAAGAAAAACAGAGGAAAGAGAGACACAGAGGAAGAGAGGCAGATGGAGAGAAAGGACTGAGCCCATACACTTAACAGTGACAATGTGTGATTTTTCTCCAGCACATTTTCTTCAGAGCCTGGCACATCCAGTACAAGACTATTCTTAAACTCCCCCTCCTCCACCGGGACGTCACACTCTCACATATTTCACCCTTTCCCTGACAGGGGGTTAGGGTTCTCAATCATACTGCATCTCACAGCAAAAAAAAATAAATAAAGGAAAAGATAACAATAAAACAAAAAAAGCAGAAGGAAAGAGGGAGGGTTCGTCAGAGAGCGAGGGGGAAATGTGCGGCTGAGAGGTGAGGAGTGAAATCAAGAGCCAAGTGAAGAATGTGAGAGACGATGGACACTGTATAGATTGGATGGGAGGAGGAACAGGGATGGGGGGGGGGTGCGAGGAGATGGACAAGGTCCTGGACAAGTTTGGCCTGAGGTGAATGTGTTCCTGGAGACTGCCTCCCAGATCCTCCTGACTGGTGCTGTGTCATCTGTCACTGGCAGGAGAGGTGACAGCGAAAGAAAAGGTGCCCTACATGCGGTAACGGCACAGTCAGGAATATCTCACAGCAGCTTTCCTTCTCCTTAGTCTCCCTCTCTGTTTTGCTCCGGACCATTTATTTCTCAAAGTTGAGAGAGAGAGAGAGAGAGAGAGAGAGAGAGAAAAAGTACTCAGTGCCTCTGCATATGGACTGACTCTTCCCTCTTGCTCATTCTCTCATTTTCACGCTCCCTTTCTTCCGCGCTCTCTCTCACAGGATAGCTGCGTCTAAGTATATGACTGCTATGGCCACAACTCCCCTCTGTCCCCCTGTTCATAAAAACAAGATTGTTTTCCGCAGCTTTCTGCTGACACCGGCTCAGCACATAAACAGAGCCGTAATTTGTACAACAGTAAGCTACAGGGAAGCACTTTTTTTTTCTCCCCAGAGGCATGCATAGAGAAGGTAGGTTGTTATCCCCCTGTTTACCTGGCAAGAAAAGAAGTATTTTATATTATGGTAATAACCGACTGCGCTGAAATGCACAGCAATCCCATCTCATTCCCGTTGCAGCAATCGCCTCATTCCAGCTGTTACTATCTGAGATATGGTGATAGTTGTTCCTAGAACTGGGGCTAAGCCTGTGATGTTATGCGAATGGAAATGCAATGGTCACAGAATGAAAGTCCAAAACAAAGTGTGCTGTATGTGTATAAATCAAACCCGCTCTGCAGTTTAAAGTCTAATCTAACTGGGACATTATCCATGCTCTAAACTTGTAAGAAATGGGGGAAAAACAGGGCAGTAGAGATACAGCAGGAGTCAGTTGTGGATGCAAAACTTAGCAGATGCTTAACAGAGAGAAGGAGAAGAGACTAATGACTGATCATGCATTTCTGCATCGCAGTACAGATGGTACAGAAAAGGCTTTACAATGAAATCAGTGGAGAGAATGCAGCACAGCAGCAACACACTGAACAGTTACAGCATCTTCAGCGCCGTGTCTGATGTGCTGTAACTGCCCCCTAACGAAGGTCATGACCTAGAGAGAAAGCTTCTATTGCCTTGACTCTGTGCAATCTCTGGGTCCACTTACACAGCTTGTGTCACCGTCCCAGGTCACGCACAGTCATAAAGAAAACAGACAGTACAGCTGACACCCTCTCTGGCAGGGATCTACTCGGGAGACGAAGAGAGGGAATTAGAAGCTTCATAACTCTGGTTTCAAATTGCTCTGTCCTGATATCAATATTTTCTCCCCGTTTCTAAATGAAAAACGAGCCAGCAGTAAAATATAATCACAGCAAATCATATCTGAGAGTAGTATTTTTTTTCTTTTTGTGTGTGTGTGTGTCACAGGCTATAAATCAACATGTGGAATAGCTGAACTTGGTGCCGTGGAAAATGTTTTTGTTCCCAAGTTTCTTTTGTTGTTGCATTACCGACTTTGATCTGTCAATGTCAACACAACGTGTCAACAAAGTGAGATCTCACATTGGAGACGACTTGGATTTTGCCTTTTTATGTGCAAAAGGTTACAACTCCCTTTGGGAAACAACTGTACACGCACATACGCACACACACATGCAATGACACACACATTCATTCACACAGTGCCCTCCTTAGAATGTAGTCCAGCCTGAAAGGGTCAAACTCTGAAAAGAGGTGGCGGCTATGTGATTGACCCTGACCCTGTGGGTGCAATAAGCCGGGGCACTCGTTGCGAGCCGGGCTGGGAGCTGATAAACATCCACTGTGTCTGATTCAGCCCTGCGTGCGTCTGTATTTCACACAGACAACACAGAGGCAGAGTTCTGCTGTACTTTACTCACCTCTATTGTTTTCCAAAGACAACCACCTGGTGGCAAGCAGGGGAAACAACTAATCCATCCTCATTCTGTCCACAAACAGACTGTCTAGGAATAAAAACAACAACAGATACTGTCCAAAAGGACCAGAGTTGCCAAGCTATACTCATGAGTCTGCCTTCCAAAGCACTTCACTGTTAACTTTTTCTCTCTCTTTTCTTTCGACCAGACCCCCCGTAGTTGGACTCAATGGGGAAGGGCTGTCAGTTCAAAACAATGTGACTAAGGAGTGAACGCTTGACTGAACTGGACTGGGGTTAGAGGGCTTTGTTTGTGTGTGTCTATGTGTGTGACAGGAATATAAAGCCTGCGTTGGAAGTATTTAACTTGTCTGGTCTGAAGGCTACGACAACCTACTGATGGAGAAAAGTGCCACGTCCTACTCCTCACAGCTCCTTAACCCCCCTGGACAGCCACAAAGACTTTTCCCCCCTTATTTTCTCCGTTCTCTTTTTGCATCGGACATAGCAGTGCACACGGGAGTGCTATATTTTAGGCAGTTAAAAACACAGATGGTAGGGCAAGCTCAGACATCACAGCAAGATGAATTCAGAGACACCGTTCCCAGCCAGCAAGTCACACAGCAGTCAGAAGCACGCGAGATGTGATGAATAAGCAACTTAATCTGGAGAACTTACCATGTCCGGAGATCCACAGGAGCAGGAGGACCCAAGGGATCATGGCTGTGGAGTGGAGAGGGCAAAACCTACGGAAAACAGTGGGCGAGTGTGAAATTGAAGTTGGCAGGCACAAACACATGCACGAGATGAGACAGTGCTCCTCTGTGCTGCTGGAGGGGGGGGACGGATGCTACAGTCCCTCAGTGGTGTCTCCTTTTACCAGTGGAAGGCTGGTAGTCTGTCTTCAGTCCCTCTCCTCTTCTGCTGATTCTTCCTCTTCTCTGTCTCTCTGCGCGTCTCTTTTCCCCCCGTCTGTGTCACTCTTCAGAGTTGCCGTGGTCAGCTCTGCCTCGCACGCTCTCTTGTTGATGTGAGCTTGTAGACTTTCTGTGTCTTCGCTGCTGACTCTGAGCGCACACACACACACGCTCACTCTTTCTCTCTCGCTCACACGGTTTCCCGTTGCCCATCCATTCTCAGTCTCTTCAGCCCTCACTTGCCCCCCCCCTCCTCCTCCTTCTCTTTCTCTCTCATGCTCTTTCTCTCTTGCTCCACCACTCACATAGCAGACACAGTCAGGGGATAGAGCTCCACAACGAGACTCCTCCCTCCCTCCATCCCTCTCTCTCTGTCTCTCCTCCTCTCTCTCTCTCTCTGCCTCTCAGCCTGGCTGTCTGGGTGGCTGAGGCTAAGTGTGAGGCTGGGAGACTCGGGTCCTCACTCTGGGTACGAGAGCTGCCATGGGAGAAACAGAGAGGGTGCGGGTCAATTAGAATGAGAATGGGAGCGACTCGGCCTCTATAGCTACAAATAACACAGACATCCACAAAAACAAAAAGTGCATTTTCACCCCCTCCTACCACTTAAGACCCTGTGCCTTTTATTTTGGGATTCTATGGATGGCATCGGATTTTTTGGACACAGTGAGCAACCTTCTTTGAGAGTGCTTAAGGACTACATTAGCATTCAAGACCAAAGTTGTAGTATTCATTAGTAACTACTTTATTTTTTTATTTTTTTTAATCAAGGGTTGAATTAGATTCACAGTCACTCACTCAAGGAGCCACGATGCAAGACGTCATAACAAGCCCAAGTGCATTGCATGCTTACTAACTAGTTTTCCTTGATATGCCTGTAAAATATTTAAAAAGGGGGCCATCGGTTCCAGGTCAGGCGAGCTCCACATATAAAAGTGAGCTCCTACTATAAACGTTATAAAATGTTTTACAGTACATTAAGACATCCAGATGGTTTAGAGTGTAGAAATTTACTATTTAATTTCATACGTTATGCACACAAATGAATAATTTGTACCTCAAATGTATGAGAAGTAAGTGCTGCGGAGGTGGGTCAGTCACACGTCACAATAAATCGAATCGAACACTTGTGGTGATTGGCTGCAAGTAAATCCACACAAATTGATTGATTTCTAGTTCTGGGGACAAAAGGATCAAATGCAGGTATCGTGACTGAAGAAGTGTCATTATTACTTGGTCTGGTCATTTCCTTTAAAGGGAAATTTCGGTTTATTTCAACACGTTTACATGTCGTTTTCTATATGTTCTCTGACATTTATCCTAACGATATGAGGTGGTCTTTGTGGAAAAAAGCTTGTTTAGTGGACTAACTTTGCACTTGAAGGTATCACTTACGTTTTAAAAGGTCTGACGCTACTATGCACCCCGGCTGTATCTAGGCTAACGGCTAACATGCTAACTATTATTTTTATGTCACTACTCACTTGAAACAAATTTAGGACGATAGGAGACAGGTTGAAATAAACCAAAATTTCCCTCTAAGGTATAGAGTACCGATACCCAGCCCTACAAATCATGAGTCACATCTGTGTCTCCAGCTGACCAACTGTGTTCAGATTTTGCTAATGCCAACATCACTTCCACAATAACGTCAAAGTGCCCCATGCAGGATTATTAGGTCCACATTATCATGAGACACATTAGCGCTTGTGTTGGTACAGCTGGAGATATCGCTGTCGGCAGAGTCCAATACATCGTTTTCCGTAGGGCAAAAATGATGGACAGTCATAGGGCAAGTAATAGTAAAGATTCTCTTTATCTTTCTGAACCATTTCTGGTTAGCATTGGCTCACTGTCTTCAATACAAACACCATGTCCTGCATTGATGCACATTTTCCCGTGTAAACAAATTTTCAGTGTGAATTTTTATATTTGAGTGGCAAATAAAGTATACAGAACAATTTTAATAGTTTCAAAACAAACTTTTGAGAAAGTTGAATTTTCTGGCTACTGCTTCATCATTATTAATAATTTCCAATCTCAAATGTGATGTTTTAGTCATGCTACACGGCTCTAGGCATGGCAATGTCTGTTGATCGGCCAATCCACTGCTTTAGTCCAGACAAAAATATCTCTGAGGTCCACATTTGTGGTTTTACCTTTAGACAGATTGCCATGACCTTTGGCTCAGACATTCGTGCCTGCCTTAGGCTGAATTGTGATAACTTTGGTGATCATTTAATGTTTCATGCAGTGCCATAATTAGGTGAAAAATTCAGTTTTTCAGTACTTTGGTTTATGACCAATAACCTGCAAAACTGACAACATTTCCAGAAGCCTCAGCCAAACTTTGTGCACAGTACAAATTGTCAAATGTTAGACTAAGTTGGTAACAATGGTAAACATTAAGTAACTGCACTATCTAATGATATTGTAGCTGTTATTTTAAGGTAAAAAAAATGCATGAAATTACTGAAAAATATCTCAAAGAGCAAACAGCACAGTTCTCCTTTGACATAGTCCTAGATATTTAAAGACTTTGATGACTTATTTAACTCCAAGATCTCAGAAAAAAATGATTTAATTCTGTCTTTCTTATAAATAATGATTGACATTCAAATCTGGACTGGAGGGAATGACCCTCTATTAATATAAGATGTACAGTAATGCCCAGAACCTCAAGATCAGAGCTCTGATAATGACAGGGTAAGCACTGCATGAGGGCCTTGTCTACGTCATATCAATTTAATCCATCCCTTTGACTTCCTAATCTAATCAAAGGGCCAGAGGATGACAGGTGGTCTTTTCATCAGTGCAACTAACAGCTACACACAAAAACAACCCCACTGCGGCCGAACCAGAGGATAACAGATTTGCATTCTGCCTAAGAACATGATGAGTAGGGGCAAAGAATAACAATGGAGCTTATGTGCTTGAAGGTTGAGCAATGAGGGTAAACAAGGTAAACAAATTTGTATGTCCACAACCCACCATCATCAACTCGGTACAATAAACCCTGCGCCTGGATTACATTTTTTTTTCTGTAACATCTGAAATATTTGGGCAGATTTGTGAACGATGAGCTGAACTGAAGTCATCTTGTTTGTCCTGCCATCAACAGTAAATGAGATCAAAGTCCTACAAGAAAGAGGATAAATCTGGTCCAGACTAATTTGGAAGTGTACTATCCAGGAAGAGTTTACTCAAAACATGTCCTCTTTGCTAAACTGAAACCTGCTTCTTTTTCAAATGCCATTTACACATAACAGATAACAACACTGGTGTTTTACTGTTTGCAGTCTTAAGTGCAACTGCCAAAATCCTTAGCCAGTTTGAGAAACCAAATGCTTAAGAAAAAAAAAAAAGAAAAGATCAACAACATGTTTTGTATTATAATGTCCTTGCACAGGCAGAGGGGAAACATTAGGAGATGTGAAGTCTAGAAAAGGGCTCATACACTGTTAAACCCACAGTGCACCCACAGGGGGCATAATCTTAAATGACTCAGGAGACAGGGAGCTCTTCTTCTCAGAGTTTAAGAGCCTCTTTATACCAGCTATGACCATAATCCACAGTCAAAAAGACATGCTCCGGAGAAAGTGGAGCTGAGCTAGAACAAGATGAAGATATAACATTAATCGGTCAGTGCTTCCTCTAAATCACCCATACTCTCAACTGCAGATCTACAGCATAAGAGAACTATAAAAGTTAGTTTGAGGTCATTCTGTCTGAACTGATCATTTATTCAACACATTTTATGTGTGCTTCATATGTATAAGAAAAACTGCTATTGCAAGGATGCTCCCCACTCAAATCAATAACTGTGCCACTGATATATTCTAAAGGATAAACTGTAGTTCAGTCAGTATTTTAGTCATGGACATTGCTCATGTTTAAAACCACTGAAGCACAGCGCCTGATTGAGAATTCCAGTGTCATTGTTATGTTAATGATAATCACGTTTGATTTGATACAAAGTGCTTTATCTTCTGTACTACATACACTTTCCGCTTGGGTGCAAATAGACTTAATCCACCTTTGACATTTAATGGCAAACTGCCTGAAAAGTAACCTAAATAGATTTGAGAAATGCTTCGCTAACAGAAACATTTAACTTAAAAAAATAAATAAAATCTGATGTAAAAATGTTTGCAATTTTAACATTGTCTGACTCACAATGGACAGTTGGTTTAAAGAAATATGACTAAATATATAAATATATCAAAACTGTTGCCGCAGAACCAGAATTACTGGGCCTTATCTTACCCGGCCCAAGCTGATGCACTGCGTAGGGCAACTGTCATTGCTTGTTACAGACTGACGCAGATGTCATTTTTACAGCAAGCGCCCACATTGTGTAAGTATGTTCTTGCGCCGATCGGTGATCTCATAGGCATGTAGGTATTAAAACGAGGTGTGGGTGGATGCATTGTTTGCGTATTGCTATTTTGAAGCAGTAGAAAGTGACGCGCCACTGGCCAAGGTCAGAATGGCATCGTAACTTACTGCTATTCATTCAGAGGTGCCTAGGAGACATCCTGATCAGATGCCTGAACCACCTCAACTGACCCCTTTTGACGCAAAGGAGCAGCGGTTCTACTCTGAGCTCCCTCTGAATGTCTGTGCTCCTCACCCTATCTCTAAGGCTGGGCCTAGCCACCCCATGGAGGAAACTCTTTTCAGCTGCTTGTATCTGCAATCTCATTCTCCCAGTCATTACCCAGAGCTCATGGCCATAAGTGAGGGCTGGGATGTAGATGGACCAGTAAATCGAAAGCTTTGCCTTCCGGCTCAGCTCCCTCTTCACCACGACGGTCCGGACCAAACCGCCAATCCATCTCACACTCCATTCTACTTCACTCATGAAAAAGATCCTGAGATACTTGCACTCCCTCGCTTGGGGCAGTAACTCTCTCCCAAGCCAAAGGGGGCAATCCATTGTTTTCCAGCAGAAAACCATGGCCTCAGACTTGAAGGTGCTGACTCTCATCCCAACTGTTCCAGACTCGGGTGCAAACCGCCCCAGTGCATGCTGGAGGTCATGGTGTGATGAAGCCAACAGAACCACATCATCTGCAAAAAGCAAGAGATGCAATTCAGAGGTCCCCAAACTGGATCCCTTCCTCCCCCCGGCTGTGCCTCAAGATCCTGTGCATGAATTACACAAACAGGATCACACCTATGATTGATCAAGGTACTGAATATGACCCCTTTGCTCTTTGTGCATTGCACTACACCCAGATAATACATTGACATGCAAAAGTGGTTGAACATGCTGTAAATGCACTTGCGCCACATAATTTAGCCCATGTAGCACAGATCAAG